AAAAAAAGAAACATTTTTTAATACACTGGTAAAAAAAAAAAATTTTTTTTTTTTTTTAATATGTTTTGAAAATATAATAATAAAGTGAGGAGACCGACAATGGAAAGAGGTTCAAAAATAAGGTATAAAAATGGGGGAGACGAGTTAAGTATGGGAGGAGTGTAGAGAGGGGAGTGGGGAGGGAAGAAGGGGGGGAGGGAGTAGGTAGTGTGAAATGAACATTTATTAATCTTTTATTCTTCATCGCATTTAAATCTAATTTAAAATGCAACAGCTTGAAATGAAAGTTATTAAATAATAAGCAACGTTGGATAATTTATTTTCTTTCCATTGAAGACTTTAAATATATTTTATTTTTTCCTTTGCCTGACTGCCTGACTGCCTCCCTGCTTTTTTTCATTCACAAAGAAAAATAAAAAAAAAAATTGCACGATGGCGAAAATTATTTAAATTTACGACGAGTTGATGTTTTTATTTTTTTACATTTAAATTTTTTTTGTTCGCGTTTTCGTTTTGATACGTTAATAAATCCTTATCGTACCTGTTCAGGTACTTTATCAGAACAAAATTTAAATTTTAAAATAGCATAAAAAAAAAGTGATTAATAAACACGGAAAACGGAAAATCGAAACGATATTTTCTTCTTTTTTTAACAAGGAAAAACGTCGCGTAATGATCCAAATCTAAATCTATAATTCATTAGTGATGATGATAATAATAATAATAATAATAATAATAATAATAATAATAATAATAATTTAAAAGGATAAAGAAATCAATCATTAAAAATATATTTATATGTATATATATTTAACGAAATCGTTTTGATAATAATTTTACTTACAGATACCTTATGGGTAAATTTCTTAAGGCGATTAATGAGCAGAAATGTGACTTTACGAGAGAAATTATTAATTTTTTTTTTTGTAAAAAAATGATGCAAGTATTGAAAAATGATTACAGGAAATAGGTCTTCTTACGTTGAAAAATTTTCGAATTTTTATTTAAATTCGAATAATTTATTTGTAATTAAACGAATTAACTAACGTTCACGTTGTTGTAATATTAATTTATTATTATTATTATTATTATTATTATTATTATTATTATTATTATTATTATCATTATTATTATCATCGTTTAAGAAAAGATAGAAAGAAAAATTTTTTTAATAAACGGACGAAGAAACCGGAAATTCATTTATTTATTTATTTATTTTTTCGATTCGTTGATTGTGAAAATTACACATATAAATAAAATTTGTAAAAATCCGAGAACTAAAAAACTATTTTCCATCCCCCCCTTCCCCCCGTAACAATTTTCCAGAGTTTTGAATTTCAATAACAAAATAACTTTCGATACCTTTTAAAAAGTTTATAAATCTCGTTTGAAAAAGCGGAGGAGGGGGGGGGAAGAAAGGAGAGAGGGGTGGAATTTTTTTAAAATCGATTTTATTGGTGATTTTTCTAATGAATTTCCGTCGGTTTTTTTTTTTCCAACTACAAAACGTTTGTTTTAACGTTTAAAAAAGAAAATGAAAATCAATTTATTTTTGAAATTTTCCAAATTTTTCCAGGTAAATAAGAAAAATAAATTATTATTAACCGGAAGTAGATAATAAATAATTTTTAAAAAAAGTTTTCCGAAGCGAAATATAAATAACAAACTTCTTACGTTTAACTTATTAATAAAGTTTTCTTTTTTTAATAATAACGAGAGGAAAATGATGATGATGATGTGGGACGCGATGGGGGTGAGTGCGGCGGTAATGGTGGGGTCGGAGAGGGGGTCAAGAGTGGAAAAAAATTAAACAAGAACGAGATTGAATGAAAAAAAAAATAGCAAAAATTAGTTTAATTTGAATTTTGATTTTTTTTTATTTAAAAGATTTTTAATGAAGATTTAAAAATTCAAAGTCACGCTCTCTATCGTATTAACTAGTTCTTTGTCATGTAAATGACGAAATGGAGATTTTTTTTCTCCAAAGTTTGCATGAAAATCACGATGGAAACGTAAAAAAAAAAAAAAAGGAAAAGAAAAGAAAATTCTAGTTTTTTTTTCTTTCTTTTCTTTTCTTTTTTTTCTCATGAAGAATAATAGAATTTTTTTTTTTTTGTTATCCGATAGTCTTAAGTATTTTCATCTTCTTTTTAATTTTGTTTTTTTTTTTTTACCTATTATTATTATTATTATTCTCCGCATTGAATATTTATTTTTTATTTATCCAGTTAAGTTGATAATAATAATAATAATAATAATAATAATAATAATAATAATAATAATGCATTTTTTTTTTCAATAATCTAATCGAATTTTCTTTTTTTTTCTTATCGTTGAATTCTTAACAATGTTATCCAATAAATTATTATAATTAAGGAAGTTTAAACAAAAAATTATTATTATTATTATTATTATTATTATTGTTGTTTTTTTAATAACGGTAATAATTTGTCTGGTTGATAATTAATTATGTACATGCATTTACTACGTATTGATAAACAATAAATATTGATAAGATAATAAAATTTAAATAAATGATAAACGGATAAAATTAATTTAAATTTTTGTTTTGACAACGTGAGAACGAGTTAAATTTTTTAAATATTGTTTTCCTTTTTTTTTTTTTAAATTTTTAATGACGTCACGTGTCAATTTCCGTTTCCGATATTATTATTATTATTTTTACTCGTAAGTTAGGGTCAAAAGTTGAAGTGGTTTTTCCTAATTTTTCCTTTTTTTTTCCTATCGTCGTTGTAAACTTTCATGTTAACATCATGTGTGTGTGTTTTTTTCCCCCTTCTTGTTCTCCAGATTTTCTCCAGAAAAAATTAAGAAAAAAAAAAAGAAAATTTTCCAAAATTAAAATTGTCATTTATCTTCATCGTCAGACTCACGGACAAATTTTTTTTTTTTTTTTATGAACGAGATTAATGAACTTTTGGAAAATTTTTTTTTTTTTATCACAATCAATCGAGTTTATTTAGAGTTTTTCAGTAAAATAATATTTTTTTAATATATTTTTCCAGGAATTTAAAAAAGAGTTAAAATTTCATTATTATTATTATTATGTTTAAAATGGAATTAATTTAGTTATTAATTTTTTGAAAATTACAAAATTTTATTTACATAAGTTAATGAAAAAAGAAATTAATAAATTACCGAAAAAAAAGAAAAAAATTATCCGGGAGAAAATGATTAAAAAAAACCGATAATCTAACCTTACCCTCTTGACTTTTCATAATTTTCCCCCTCCTCATCCCCCCGAACTCTCCCAACACTTGAATTAATTTTTATTTTTCAAGTTTTCGTTATTATTATTATTAATAATATAATTTTATATTATAATAATTAATTTAAATAAAATTTTAACGAATTAATAAGATAATATCAATTGTTCGAAATGTTCATTTTTTTTTTAAACGGTCGTCATTTCGCTGGATAAAAAAAATTCCCTCCCTTCCCCCCACACACAACCTCTTCCTCTCCTTTCCAATCCTTCCCCTTTCGTAAAACAAAATGAAATAAATTTTAAAAAAATTGATTTAAAAAAAAAAAAAAAACAATTTTTTTTTAAAATCAATTTTTAAAAGATGCGATGATGACGACATGGAAAAAAAGGAAATGAAAGCAGACGAAAAAAAAAGAAAATTTGACGTTTCATTTTTAATATTTATATACTTTGTATATATTATTATATAATATAATATACTGAAAAACAATATTTAAAAGTGCGAAAAAAAAAATTTTTTTTTTTTTACTTTATATAAAAGTTTATTAGACATTTTTTTTTTTTCTCTTTATTTATGTTACGTAAAAAGTTTTTTTTTTTTTTTTGTAAAACACATAAAATACAACAACACCGCCATTACCACCACCACCGCCAACCCCATCGCCACACCGCCACCACCGTCGGCGAATGTGATTTTAAAAAAATTATTATTTAACCGCGTTGAATAATGCATTGAATTTTTATATATAAGAACTTTAATTTTTTTTTACTGAATAAATGTTAAAATAATTTTTATAAAAATAATATTATTATTATTATTATTATTATCATTATTATTTTTAAAAACAGTAAATGTAAAAATAATTGAATGATAAAAAAAAAAAAAAATTCGACGTGCACCTGGAGAAAAAAAAATGAAAAGAAAAGTGACATCTGGAATTATTATTTAAATTAAAAAAAAAAAGGGGGGAAAATTTTTTTTTTCCTACTTCCGGTTTTTCTTTTAATTTTCAGATTTTAATTTTCCAGTATATTTATTATCGGTTGAAATTTTTTGTATAGAATCGATTTACTTAATTAAAAAAAAATATAGCGCTATATTTAATTAAGACAAACGTTAAAAGTTTTATTAATAGTAGTAATACTAATAATAGTAGAGAGTAGTTAGTAATTAATTGTTATTTTATTATACCATGAAACGTTTTTTAATATCATTTGTTATTACTACTATTACTACTACAACTACTATTTATTTTACGACTACAATTACTACTACAAATACTTTAAATTATTTTCTTTTTCGATAATTAAACTACAATTAAAGTTTTCTCTGAAAATTTTAAACATTCACCGAATCTCGTCACACATTTATTTTATTTAAATTTAATGACCGTAAATTTTTAATTTATTCGGCCAAATAATTTTTAATTTTTTTTTTGTTGTTTTTGTGAAAAAAAATGTCGTTTCATAAAAAATCGATAAACGTTTTCATAAATTTTTATGAAAGTTAAAGCAAACAAATAAATAAATAAATAAATTTTTCGACGCTATAAACTATTTTTTTTTTTTCATAACCGACGATAAATTTACGAATTTTTTTCCCCTCGGTTTTTTTTTTTTAATATTTTTTTTTTATATTAAAAACCTAAAACATAAACATAAACATAAAACATAAAACACTCTGCATGTTAGTACATAATTTTTTTTTTTTTTATTAAAATTTTTGGGCTTTTTTTTTTCGCGAAAATAAATGATTTAACGCGTATCCAAAAAAAAAAAAAAAAAAACGGAAACGGAAACTTGTTGATTCACTGAATGAGGAAGTAAATAAATATTGTAAAAAATACAAAATAAAAAGAGGAAGAGAGAGAGAGAGAAAATTAAATTTATCTCATTTTAAAAAAAAAAATAAATAATAATAATAATACAAAAAAGAAACAAAAAAAATAGCAAAGCAGATTGTAAAAATAAATAATAATACTTTTTTTGTTGTCTTCTGCTTTTAATTAAACAAAAAATAATAATAATGATAATAATGGCGATGATGATGATGATGATGATGATGGACGAGACTCTTGTAATTTATGAATGATGATATTATTAATAATAATAATAGTAATGAAATTTTTCGTTGATATTTAAACGTCATTTATAAATAGCGTTGTTTATTATGTTATCTTTTTTTTCACGCTATTTTTTTTTATAGAGGTCGTGTTTCTATATATAAATTTAATAAATGTAAATTAATTAATAATTTATTTATTTATTTATTTGTTATATTAATTAAAAAAAAAAGAAATTAATAAACGCGATTAATATTAACAAACTCTGGAATGATAATTAGAGCACTTATTACAACAATCACAACAAGGTTTACAGGGTACGGCCCTGGTTTTGTATGCGATGTTTTCGATGACTGGAGTGTAGGTTCTTTTGAGAAAGCGTTTGATTTTAGGTATGGTTATTTCACGTTGTATCAATTGAGGTTTGACAACGGTTTTGGTACATATGCATCGCTGTGCCAAAACTCTCGGTGCCGGTATTGGTGGAGAAGGAAGTGCAACAATGGGTCCTTCGATTGCCGGAAGTGTAACACTCGGAGCTTGCAAAACGGGTAATGGTGGTGATTCCGGTCCGTCCGAACAACACGATCCACGGGGTATGAAATCTGTTTTGATGAGTCTCATGACCGGGGAGGAAATAACTTGAGGAATAACGGAAACGGATGTCGGTGAATTACAAAATTTAGCCGTTACAATCGGTGCATCGCACTGAAAATATCCGACATGGTAGTTCTATTTATTAATTAATAATTAACAGTAGTAAAATTAATTAATTAATACTTACTCTGGTTGTTTGATGGCTTGGACGTACGGCAAAACTGACGAGTGCGAAAAAAAGAAAAATAATCATTTTAACCATATTGATTTTCTTTTTTTTTCTTTTTCTAGTTTTCCTGTTGGTGACTGTTGTTAATGTTTGAATGATGATGAACAGGAATCAAACGTTGTATTTTATACTGTTGGAAAAGTTATGTTTGAGGCTTTCTTCGTGTTGTACATCGAAAACATTATTTTTTTTCATTATTACTATTATTATTTTTTTTTTTATCATCATCGATCCTCTTATCAGATTTTATTGATTTATTATTCCCGGTTAATTATTATTATTATTATTTTTTTCTCTCTCTACGTTAATGCCGATTCCTTTTACGATTCTGAACAATAAATAATTTCAAACGTGTTAATCCATTATGAATTTTAATTAAAACAATGGTAATTATGCCGTTACCATCTGAAACGACATTTCACTCTCTCCTTCCTCCCTCTTCCTCTCTCACACTCTCTCTCTCTTTACGCTGCCTTCGTATTATTATTATTATTATTATTATTATTATTATTATGCGAATATATTTTTACATAGCTACAGAAAAAAAAAAAAAAAATTAAATTTGATTTCAAGAGCCGACGACAGTAAATTTTATTTTTTTGGGTTGACATTTTTTCTTTTTTTTTTTTAATAAATTCATTTATTCATTAATTTTTTAATTTTTTATTCAAATTTTTATAAAAAAAAACTTTTGTAAAATTTTTTTTTTCTTTTCTGATTAGATAAAAAAAATTTTTTTTTCTTCTACTTTTTCTTTAACCCTCTCCTCTCTCTCTCTTTCACTCCCTTAAATTTACAATTCATTATTTGACCTCTTGTTAATTATTAAAAAAAAAAAAAAATTGAATTTTTTATTCAAACAAAAAAAAAATTTTTTTTTTTTTTTTAATTGTGATGATTCCTGTCGTAAAGATTTCTGTCGTAACGATATCTGTTGTATAAAATTTATTTTTTCGATAAGAAAAAAAGAAAACTGGAAAAGTTAATGTAATACATGTTTATTTTTTTGTTGCAGAGGGAAATTGTTTACAAATAAACGAATTAATCGTACCGAACGTTGTCGAAAACGGTTCGAAATCTGCTGTCGTTCTCGATTGTGATTATTCTATAAACAATTCGGAAACGGGTTTAGTGGTGAAATGGTTTTTAAATGATGGGGATACGCCAGTTTATCAGTGGATACCGCCGCAAAGGCCACAAGACCTCGGAAAATTAAAGGTAAGAGAATTATTATTATTTTATTTTTTCGTTCGCTTTTTTGTTCCCCCACTATTCCACCGCGTTTTTATTTTTTAAATTTTTCCAAACGGTTTCGTTCGTAAGTTAAACAATGTATTTCGACAATTAACCGGTCGTGAAAATTTTTTTACATCTCTATTCAAAAATTATAGAGAAAAATTTAGTTTTCTTTTAAAAAGTTTATTAAAAGTAAGTAAAAAAAAATTATTATTTTCAAATTTATTTATTATTGTTAGAAAATAAGTAAATAAATAAATAAAAAAAGGAAATTAATAGAAATATTTTATGGAGTGATGTAAAATAAAAAAATGGTTGATTGGAGAATTAAAAAAAAAAAAAATTATTAATCCAGAGAATAAAACTGGAAGTTGAAGAGAAAATTAGAAAAAAAAATGGAAAAATGAAAATTCACCGAGTCGAAAATGATCGTTTTTTTTAAAAATTAAATTTATCCAAGCATAAATTTCTTAATAATAATTTTGATAAGGGAATAATAAAAAAAAAAAAATGATAACGATAGAAATGTTTTGTGAAGATATAAAAATAGATAGATAGTTGGATGAATCGCTTAAACAATAGATAAATAAAAATTTTTTTGGTTTTTAAATCTCCCTTCCGCCTCTCCCGCCCCCTTCCGCCCCCCGAAAAAAAAAATTTATCCGAGGAGTCGTGATAAGATAAAATAAGATTTTCATGTGGAAATAATTAAAAAAAATTTTCACGTATTTTTAACATATAAAAAAAAAATTTTTTTTTTTTCTTTTAAATTGACCGGAAACAATAGGAAAAACGTAGCAGAAGAAAAAAAAACGGATGTTGTTATATACAAAAAAAAAAAAAAATGGCGAAAAGGAAAAAAAAAAAAGATTCAATTTAAAAAATAAAAAAAAAACGGAGGGAGGGGGAAATAAGATTTTACCTTACGAACGTTTTAAACGCTTCATCGACGATTTACAAAAAATTTTTTTCTTTTTTTTTTTTTTTATTTTACAAAAAAAAAAAAAAATGAAAGCAGAAAATAAAAAAAAAAAAAATCAAGAACCGGAACGTTTTTTCTTTGCTCCAGGAAGTTAGAACTCAATTAGCAAACCTTTCCATTATCCTTGTCACGTTCGTTCTTTTGATATCCTCAACAGGGACCGACCCAATGTTGTTCAACCGCTTTTCATGATATAAAAAAAAAAATTGCGGAAAAAAGAAAGTAAATGGGCAAAAAGAAAAAGAGAGAGGCAGGAAAAACAATATCATAGTGCGTAGAGGGGTTAAAAAAAAAAAAAAAAACCCGTTTCACGTTTTAATCAACTTTTACCTCATAAGTTCGGAAAAATCGGAAGTTTGAGGAACAGAAAACAGGAAACCATTATGTTTCCTTTGAGCTTTTATTTTTTTATCAAAGGAAGTTTGACCGGTAATTTTAACCGAACGAACGAACGGCAAATGATTTTATTTTAACATTTTAAAAAAAAAATTATATTTTATAAAAGTTTTTACAACCGATAGTGAAAGAGAATCAAAAAGGAAAGAGAGAGACAGAGAGAGAGTGTGAGAGAGAGAGAGAGAGTGAGAGTGTGTGTTAAACTATTAAAATTTTAAATGCGGGCCATTTTTAAACAAAAAATTTTTTATTTCCTTTTCTAAAAATTTTTTATTAATTAAATTTTACGACACGCGCACATACGCACGAACGGGAAAACGCGCACACGTTCGTATTTGTTACAAGATATCTCTGTTAACTATTATTATTATGCGTGAGATTTCTAAAAAAAAAAAAAAAAAAAAAAAATTTCCTGGTAAAATTGTCCTATCTCGGGCATTTTTTTTTGTTTTTCATTTTTGTACCTTATCCGACAATTCGTAGAAATTTAATTTAATTTGGATGGTTTAAACGGATGGTAAACATGGCGTGGCACAATTGTCAAAATTAAAAAAAATTTTATAATTTTAAATTTATTTATTTATTTAATTAATAATAAGTAGTAATTTGTTACAAAAGTTTAAATTTATTAATATGTATAAATAGAAGTTTTTTTTTTTTTAATTAAATAAAAATTTATTAAAGTGTTTTATTTATTTAATAAATAAATAAAAATAAAAATATTAAATAAAAAGTTGCGAAATAAAAACAAAATGCAAACTTTTCTTTTTTTTCTGTTCTCATTTTTCCGGAAATTCTGCATTATTGACAAAAAAAAATGAAAGTTTTTCTTCGGATGAAAAACTTTCAATTTCCGGTATAAAAAAAAAAAAAAAATAAAAATAAAAAAAAAAATAAAATAAAGCAAAAAAAAGAAAAAAGAAAAAAAAGATTTTGAAAAATATAAAGTTTTACTTTTTTTTTTTTTTTTTGCTTTATTTTATTTTTTTTTTTATTTTGTTTTGAAATTCTACGAAAAGTTAAAATTTTCTACAAAGAAAAATGTTATAATTAAAAAAAATTTCATGTTCAGATTGACGCTGGAAAGTAAAAAAAAAAACAAAAAAAAAAAAAAAAATTAAATGAAGAAATGAAAGATTAAGTGGTGGAGAAAAACGATGGGGAAAAAAATAATTTTTTTTGTGTTTTTTTCCCTCTCTCTCTCTCTCTCTCTCTCTCTTTTCCTCTCCTCCTCTTCTTCCTCTTCCCCCTCTCCACCTCCACCTCTTTTTTGTTTTTTTCTGATTTTGAAACCATTATTATTATTAATAATCGTCCGGAAAGTGAATATTTTTGTATATTTATGCAATAAGGGCATAAAATTACTTATGCAATAACGATATAAATTTATTTATGCAATAAGGGCATAAAGTTATTTTTTTTGCGATTTCACTGCTCTGGAATGCGAATAAATAATTTAATATAAATTTTTTTTTCTTTTAAATTTAAATTCACGGCGAAATATTTATAATGATAATAATGATAATGATAATAATAATAATAATAATAATAATAATAATAATTTTAAAAAAAAAAAAATTTTCTTTTTTTTCGCTTGGAATAAATGGAATTTTATTTCCAGAATAAATAAATATTTATTTATTTATTTATTAATTTTTTGAGGGAAACTTATAAATTTTAGTTTAGAATTTAATTAATGTGTGTGCAGGAAATACGGTTTCGAACATTCGGAAAAATTTATCAAAAAGATTCTCAGACTGGAATTCATTGAATTCCGTTATTGTTTTTATCATACGTGCTCACTTTCGGAGTTTCACGGCGATGTAATAATAATAATAATAATAATAATAATAATAATAATAATAATAATAATAATAATAATAATAATAATAATAATAATAATCGTTTCGAATTTTGACTGATACTGCATGTTTCTTTTAGAATAATGCGAAGTTCACTTTAAAAATTGAATATTTCTCACTTCGATCCATTCTGGAATTTTTCGTAGGTTTTTATCCAGATTTTTCGATAACTGAAATAGTTTCCGTTTCCTTATTTGAAAGAATATTTTACATTAAAAAATTTTTTCTCCAATGTTTATCTCTTCGGCGGTGTTTTCATCAAACGGAAACGGATATGATTTTGATCGGCAGTTTGACTTTATCGTTTGTAAGACGATAGATACCTGTAGGTTGTAAATTTTAGACATTAATTTTCCGCACTTTAGTTTTCTACTTACCACTATATCCGATACCGTAATTACGGCATGTTCGTTCCTGTAACGGTTATCACATTTCAAGGACGCAATGAAAAATATAATGAAATTTAAATTTCAAGGTCATCCGGTGTTTTACGCATTTAAACTATTTTTTCTAAACAGTGATGTTTATCCTGGTTGTTTTTTTCCCGTTCTTTTTGAATGTTTTCGATTCTTTTGTTTGTTTTTTCAATGTTTGAATGTTTTAAATATTGTTGATTATTTCTTTTAACTGTAAAATTGAAAACAAAAAAAAAAAAATTAGGACATTACATCGCAGAACAAAAAAAAAGGGGGGAAAAAAGGAAAAAGTTATACTTACGCGTGAGACGACGACGACAAAAGTTATTAACGAACCGTATAATTTAAATTCTTTTTTTTTTTTTTTTTGTTTAAATTGAATGAAAATATTTTATTAATGAAGGAGGGAGGGAGGGGGTGGGGAAAGGGCATTTAATACAAAAAAAACTTTTTTTTGTGAATATTTTCATCAAAATTAGTTTATATAGAAACCTGAGAATTTTCTATAAGAAAAAAAAAATTTAATTAACATTTAATTCAATTCAATTCAATTGAAATTCATTATTATCATCGTTTCGTCACCACCGTCATTATTATTATTTCTTGTTTGTTTTTGACTTTCAATCAAATTTCCTATTGAAAATCCGTTTCGTCGAATTAAAAACCAATGATAATAATAATAATAAAGAAAGACAGTTTTTTTTTTCATTTTTTATTTATAGACTATATTTTATTTTTATAATGATAACGAATTTTTTTTCTCTCTTTTTTTCTAGAATGTTCTACGTTTATCAATAAAAAAAAACTCGTTATCAAATCATCGTTTACTATAATTTGCTATAATAAAATAAATAAATAAATAAATAATTATATTTTACCTGGAATCGAACAAAATATATTCGCCGTCATTTTTTTTTCCATTCGTTTTTTTTTTCTCTCTCTCCAGAATCTGACGTTTTCGAAATCTTTTTCAATTTTTTCCTTTTTTTCCTTATCATTTTTATCATCATTATTATTATTATTAAATTTTATCATTTCGCAGTTCATCGCAAACAGTTAAAAAACATCTAAAAAAAAAAAAATTTTTTTATTATCGTTTGAATTCTATCGCGACGATAAAAAGCAGGGGGGGGGGAGAAAAAATTAAAAAAGAACGATGAGGAAGAGGGTAAAGGGTAAACGGAGATAGAGAGAAAGAGAGAGAGAGAGAGAGAGAGAGAGAAAGAGAATATTAAAAAAAGACAAAAAAGAATCGAACACGTAAAACGAGTGAATGATATTATAATGGAAATAAAGTCATGATGTGTGTGTAATCCGATTCATCATTCATATACTAAAGATTTGTTTTCCATGAATGGATAAATTCTTTATTATTATTATTATTATTATTGTTATTGGATGTGGGGGTTTTATTTATTTATTATACGAAACTTTTCACCCGTTTTTAAGATAAACCCATTTCCCGTATAATTATTATAAATTAGTAAAAAAACCTCATTAGATTTTTCGTAAATGTTTTTTTTTTTTTTTCTAATTCGTAAAAGTTTATTTAAATAAAAAAAAAGGTTTATTTATTTAAAAAAAAAGGTTTTATTATTATTATTATTATTATTATTATTATTATCGAAAAGTGTTTAATTATAGATAAAATATATATATATATATATATATATATATATATATATATATATATTTAGTCAAGAGGAATGTTTGTACATTTTAGAGATAAAGTTTATTGTTCTTGTGTTTTCCTTTTCTTTTTTTTTTTTTCAAATTCTGAAAACATAACCGAAAGGATCGAGCGTGAGAGAGGGGGGGAAGAGAGAAAAAGGAGGAAAAAAAAACATAAACAACTGAAACAACAACAACAACAACAACTAGGGCGATGATGACGTCGACGACGACGACGACTATACAATTTACATGTTTTATATTATATATATATATATATATATATTTATAATTCTCTCTCTCTCTCTCTCTCTCTTTCTTCTTGAATTAAATTTTGTTTTGCCACATTTTCAAATGTTTTTTTCTTTTTTTTTGTCGCGACATATTTTTTTAAGTGTCTCTTTTATAATCTTGAGGGGGAATGAAGTGGGGGTGGTGGGAGGGTTGGAGGAAGGGAGTAATAAATTGTTATAAAACAAAATTAGAAGGTGATAAAAAGCATCATTATCACTACTACTACTACTACCACCACCTTTCTTTTCATTTCGAAATAAAAAAATTTGTGTTTTTAATAACGAAAGAAAAAACTTTTGTATAAAAATGATAATTTAAATAATAATAATAATAATAATAATAATAATAAATTATTATTCTTTTGAGAATTTATTTATTGGTCACTCGACGACGACTACCACGACGACTACGAAGTCATATTAATAAATTTAACGTCTTAATTAAAACGGGTAACTAACCGATAATAATATTAATAATAATAATGATAATAAAAACAATAAAAAAGTTTTGAGTTAAATAAAAGTAAATGAAAAAAAATGTTTTTTAATAAACTTTGTTTTGTTTGTTTTGTGAACAAAATCAAATTTTACTCCCGACGACCGACGGACAAAAAAAAAACACCAAAAGCAAAATACGTGTATACACACACACACACACACACACATTTCAAAACAAAACAAAAAAAAGGAGGAGGAGGGGGGGGAGGTTGGCTGGGGTGAAAGAAAGCGGGGGCGTTAAATTTTCTATTCACTGATTAAACAATAAAATCAAAAGGGGAAAAAAAAAAAAATTTTTTTTTTTTTTTGTGTTTTGTTCTCATTGTTGTTGTTGTTTTTTTTTTCGGCGAGGGGAGGGGAAGGAAAGCGGGGGGAAATATTAGTAGCAAAAGGTTAAGAAAAATTTTTTTTGATATATTGATGGACGTTTAGAAAGTATATATTTTCGGATAACATAATAAAAATATTTTTGATAATATGTTTAAGTAATTGTTATAAAGTTAGTTAGTTAGTTATATACACGAAACAAAAAACAACTTACTGAACAATGCGAGCGATGATGTCTACAATATATGTTATATTGAAAACAAAAATTTTAAAATTTACAATACCTGAAACTTCGTGTTTATGTTTACGGTCGTGATATAATTTGTAAATATATTCTAAGAACGTCCAAATATTCTTTTAAATAATAATAATAATAAGAAAAACATTAATATACACGTGGACGCCTTGTGACGTCTCAAAAAAAAATTTTTTTTGAAAATTGATTGTTAAAAAAAAAATCAATAATAAATAATTAATATTGATTTTTCTCAATAAGGTTACGAAAGACAAAACAAAACAAAACAATAAAACAAATTTTAATGTTTTACTTACCGTTTTTTTTACGTTTTTACACGACGACAATGTTGTTATTTAAACAAACAAACAAACAAAATCCGACGTTAACCAATGTTTTAAAAAAATTTCTTTTCTTTTCACTTTTTTTTTAAATGGCGAAAACGTTATTATTAACGGTCGCGAATGTATAAATGAATGCGTGTATTTTATTTATTTATTTATTTTTTTGTTTGTGTAAAACAACCAGCGTGTTGAAGAAAAAAAAAATTATTATTGTTTAAACAATTGGAATTAAATTAAAATTAAAGCAAACAAACAATGATGATCCATTTAACAAGGTCTTCTCCTCCTCCTTTTTTTTTGTTGCAGAATTCTTTTCTGTTTTTTTTTATTCATTCTTCCTCCACGACACAAAAAAAAAACTTAACAATTAATTATTTACCTTTATTTTGTTAGGTTTACGTGTTTTACGTTGAGCACGTGTATGTGTGTGTGCAAACGCACACGTGTGTGAGGGCATTTCTAAGCGTGAAAAGTTTTTTAAAAATAAATGAAAAATTTCAACAACAACAACGAACTTTTTTTTTTTTTAAATAACGTTTAAAATAGGCGTTAAAATAATGAATAATAATAATAGTATTAATAATAATAATAAGTAATAATAATAATAATATTTCCCTCGTGGAATATAATAAGTATTGGCTTATTTGGTTAAGTAGATTTCCTTCCGGTAATTTTTTGAATGTTTTTCTTTTCGCGTTTAAATAATGCCCACCGTTTGTTTGAACTTTGACCTTTTAATTTTCTTTACAAACGACAACCGATTTTACCATTCGTCGGAACTTGTTCGGGACATTTAAAAATTTAAAATCCACCCAAAAAAAAATTCGTAGGTAATGAAATGCTAGCTAATATTATGATAAGAGAAATTAATTGAAATTTAATTGACGATATAAATCGATTCATTTGCTAAACATTAAAATCGGAGATAATTACAAATGCGCAATTACAAAATCATACAAATTATTATTATTATTACGTTAATGTCAAATTTTTTTTCTTTTTTAAATGGAAAACATGAATCGATGGGGGAGGGGGGTGGAGGGGGAAAAGAAAAAAAAATCAATAAATTGATAATCTATATGATTCGTGATGTTTTTTTTTCTATAGTGCTCTATAACTAAAATACTACTATATTTTTTTAATTAAAACTTATTTATTACTTTTTTTTGTATGCGTTTGTTACTTTTAATAACTTTAAATAAGTTAATCATTATTTTCCTTTTTTTTTTTACGACGTACAACAATTTTCTTTTTTTTTTTTTTATAGCTTCAAAAAGTTTTTAAATTAAATTTTTTTTTTTTACTTTTTAAATATTTTATAGCTTTATTTTTGCTATAATGACGTATTTTAAAAAGTAATAAAAGCCCCTAGTTATTGAAAAAAAACAAAAAAAAAGGTTTAAAAAGTTGTTGATTTAAAAAAAAAAAAAAAAAAAAAACGTATGTGATTTTTTTTATTTTATTAAAATAGATTTATTACTTATTACTATTATTATTATTATTATTTATGAAAGTCGTAAAAATAAAAATCATTTAAATTATTAAAGTAAGTTAAAAGTAATAAATAAATAAAAATTTTTCGATTGTTTCTAACGTTTTAAACAAAAAAATAATTATAACGATTAATAATTTTTTTTTTTAACGGTTTGTTTTGTATTGCTAC